TTTGAATTTGTTTGTTCTTGCTCCTCTAGTTGTTTTAATTGCAAGGTTAGGGTGTCAATTTTAGATCGTTCCTGCTTTCTTTTGTGGGCATTTAGTGCTATACATTTCCATCTACACACTGCTTTAAATGTGTCCCAGAGATTCTGGTACGTTGTGTCTTCATTCTCATTTATTTCTGCCTTCATTCGTTATCTATTCAGTAGTCATTCAGGAGCAGGTTGATCTTGTCTTAGAGATGAGGAGTCAGAAGCTCCAAGAGGCTGATTCACTCACCCAAGGACACACAGCTTCCAGGGGAAGAGCTCAGATGGAAACAAGACCTTTGTGGCTCTAATGTGCACCACGGTTTAATTCTTCATCTCTCATCCCAGCAAGACTGTACTGGAAACTTCTCAATCAAAAGGATCCTATCTCATTCTCATTCATTTCCCTGAGTTCATTATGGGGACACACAATGTAGTTGGGGCTGAGCAATTGCTTGTTGAGAAAAAAATTGCATTCTTCTCTGAGCTCCTCAAGCCCACCATAGTTCCCATCACTCAGAAGGAGAAACTAGGTGATGTTTGCTGGGTTAAGAGGGGATGTGAGGGAGTCAGAGGTGCTCCAGACATCAGCCACCAGCAGCCGGGATGTTGGCACCACCAGGTTTCAAAGTTGAAGACAGCTTTGCCTTTTATTTCCTGTAGAGTGGATGCTTTTCAGGAGACAGCCCCCTTTTGCTCTGTCATGGCCTTTTGAGAACATGCTAGTCTTTCATTCCAGTCTAATAGCAAGGTTGGAGGACCAGCTCCAGTCAAGCATGAGGGGCTGAGCTGCTCACACCCCATGCCTGGTGGTTAAACAGGGGGTTTCTGAGCACTTGCTGGCCTGAGGGCTCCCTGGGATCCTGGAGTGGCTCCAGCAGGTGTGCGGAAGAAAACCACGTAGGACCGACTCTTCCCTTGGACTCGTGGGTTTCATGAACCCCCTTTTATTCTCATCCTCCAGTCAATCTGCTCACAGTGCAAGTAAGAACGATTCTTATGCAGGGTAACTTAGAGATCTCATCTCCAACTCCAGCGAAGACCCTAAACAGGTACCTTTGAGGACGTCCATGTAGGACCCATGTTTTCCCCCTTTGTACTTACTTCTGAGTGTGATGAAGCTAGGGCTTTAACATACTTACTTTAAATGTGTAAAATACTTACTAAAAATGTGTAGCATATAAACAGCATATATGTATAATTATACATAAATATTACACATGAATATTAAATGTTTAATTATATATAAATAGTACATATGAAATTACATATAAAAGAACATAACTTAAAAATATATATCATTCTTGACTAGGCGTGTTGGCTCACCCCTGTAATCCCATCACTTTGGGAGGCCAGGGTGGGCAGATCACTTGATGTCAGGAGTTCGAGTCCAGCCTGGCCAACGTGGTGAAACTCTGTCTCTACTAAAAATATAAAAATTAGCTGGGCATGGTGGCAGACACCTGTATACTCAGGAGGCTTAGGCAGGAGATGCTTTTGAACCCAAGAGGTGGAGGTTGGAGTGAGCTGAGATGGTGCCACTGCACTCCAGCCTGGGCGACAGGGCAAGACTCCTCTGTCTCAAAAAAAAAAAAAAAAAAAGAAAATAAGGCCGGGCGCGGTGGCTCAAGCCTGTAATCCCAGCACTTTGGGAGGCCGAGGCGGGTGGATCATGAGGTCAAGAGATCGAGACCATCCTGGTCAACACGGTGAAACCCTGTCTCTACTAAAAATACAAAAAATTAGCTGGGCATGGTGACGCGTGCCTGTAATCCCAGCTACTCGGGAGGCTGAGGCAGGAGAATTGCCTGAACCCAGGAGGCGGAGGTTGCGGTGAGCCGAGATCGTGCCATTGCACTCCAGCCTGGGTAACAAGAGCGAAACTCCGTCCCCAAAAAAATATATATATAATATATATATATATATATTTATATATGTCATTGTTAGTTAATACTCATGAAAGAAAAATGAGAAAATACAGACATAAAAGCAAGAGAAAATACAAGATTTCCCCAATTCTGCCCACAGATCAACACATAAAATACTGTATATTCTTCAAACTTTCTGCATAGTCATTTATACATGTATATTGTCTCCAAAACTAATGTTCAGTTGTTAAAAAAAAAGCCTTTTAAAAATTTTACTTTATTATTATTTTTCCATATCAAAAACATAGTTTTATATAATCATTTTGATATATAATTGTAAATAATTCATTTAACCAATCTGTTGTTAGCTTTTAGGCTGTTTCTAACAGCAGTGTAACTAATATCCTTAAAGCTAAATCCTGATAGGAGCACTTCACTATTTTCTTAGAATGAATTCCAGGTAGTTTAAGGGCTAGCATGTGCTTTTTAATGGATATTAATATGCTTCCATAAGTTTGTTTCTATAGTTAGAAAACACCAAGCAACCCTCTCCCACCCAGCCCAATCTTTTACATGCAACTGCAAAATCTGTAGAAATGCAACATATTTCCATTAGAAAGTGAAACTTTTTTTTTTTTATGTAAAGTATGATATCTTCATTATAAAACAGAATTACCTTCAGTAGCTCTGAGGCTTAAAGATCTTTGCAGTGATCCATGAAGTCATCCAAGGATAGCAGAGCTGAGCCTGTCTGACACATCTTTGATGCTGAGCATTGGGTGGGATTGGATGGAAAGTCTGATTTTTCTCGGGTTCAATGCTGTGCTCTAATTGCCAGTGGCTGGATGCCTGGCTTGTTTTTCTCTTCCTGCCATCCAGCGCAGGGACACATAGGGAGAGTGTGAACATAGGGTGTGTCCAATCTAATGGCTAGGGTTTCCAAATTAACTGTAAACTCTTAAGTCTTTAAAGGTCAATTGAACATTTTGTTCTTTTGTTTGACTTTTCCATTTAAAATAGAACTTTTGCCTGAGAATTTAGACATTGTCACAAACACTATGGAAAAGGTCAAAACAGGAGAGTTTTCTCAACACTGAAGGACATATACATATTTAGTTATAGATTAATGTGGCTAAAGGGTGTTTGTTGCCAGATAAGAAGGGATAGTTTACAGCTCCAAGTAAGGATGAATGGCTTCTTACGAGAACTCGCTTTATCAGTGAACATCTCAGGTCGTGCCTTGGTTTGGGGCCTCACCTGCAGAAGAAATCTAAGATGGCATCGTCAGCCACTGTTGCTGGTCCTAGGTTCATCTCACCTTGCCAGGGGTGCTCCAGGCAGAACACAGCTGGAAAACTGGGGTCCCAGAGAGAAACAAATATACTGCACATTGTCTGTTGAATAAGATTTTTTGAACTTTTATTTAAGAAAATTGAAGATTGCCATACAGTTGAAAAAAAATAATACAGAGCCTCATATACCCTTCATCCAGTTTCCCCCAATGGTACATCTTGCATAAAACTACAGCCTGATATGACAATCAAGAAATTGGCATTGATACAATCCATCCACCATATTCAGATTTTCCAATTGTTGCTTGCACACATTTGTGTGTATTTAGTTCTATGTGGTTTTATCACACATGAAGTTTGACCACCACTGGCAAAGTCAATATTCAACACAATTTTATCAGTAGTCTCTAGCCTGCTGACCTCAAACAGCCACAGCCAATGCCTTTATCTCCCATCATGATCCTCTGACAGCCACTAATCTGTTTTTTTAGTTCTCCATCTCAATAGTTTTGTTATTTCAAGAATGCTATTTAAATGATCATGTACTATGTAGTCTTTTGAGACTGGGCTTCTTTACTCAGCATAATTCTCTGGAGAGTAATCCAAGTTATGTGTCTTTTGCTGAGTACTATTTCATGGTGTGGACATACCAGTTTGTTTAGCCATTCACCCATTGAAAGATATCTGGGTTATTTCCAGTGTTATTGTTATTATTATTACAAGGATCGCTGCTATGAATATTTGTGTACAGGTTTCTACATAAACATAAGCCTTTATTTCTCTGGCATAGCTGTTCAGGGGTGGAATTACTGTATCTTGGGATAAGTGCATGTTTGTTTTGTAAGAAACTATTTTCCAGAGTGGCTGTACCATTTTACATTGCCACCAGCAATGTACAAGTGATCTTGTTTCTCTACACCCCACAAGCATTTGGTGTTATTGTTAGTGCTTTTTATTTTTTGTATTGTGACAGGGTTATTGTGATATCTCATTGAGGCTTTAATCGGCATTTTCTAATGGCTGATGGTGCTAAAGGTCTTCTGATGTGCTTATTTGCCATCTCTGTGTCTTCTTCAGTGAAGTGACTGTTTATGTCTTTGTCTCATTTGGTTTTTCTATTGAACTTTGAAAATTCTTTGTAGGGTCCAGATATAAGACCTTGATGGACATGAGATGGGCCAATATTTCCGCTCAGCCTGTAGCTTACCTGTTCAATTTCTTCAGAGGTTTTTGCACAGCACGTGTTTTTAACTTTGTTGTGGTCCAGCTTATCAATATTCTCCTTAATGAGTCGTTCCTTTGGTGTCCAGTGCAAGAACTGTCCCTGGCCCTAGACCCCAAAGATCTTCTCCTATGCTTTCTTCTAAATGTTTTCTAATAACTTTTATGTTTTACATTTAAGTTTGTGTCCATTTTGAGTTAATTTTTGTATAAAATGTGAGGGTTTGGTTGATGTCCTTTTTGCATAAGGATGCTCAGGTAGGATTTTTGTTTCAGGGGAATCTTTGCCCCTTTACTACAGGATGCTAGCCCACCCCTGCCCCACCACTAGCATTCTCTGGTGCTCATAGTGCTATGGGAGACCCTCTATCTAACATGGAAACTGTGAATTGTACCACAGAGGGAGGTCCTCTATCCAACATGATAACCACGAATTATGCACACAGAGGGAGATGTTCTATCTGACATGGAAACCATGAATTGTACACACAGAGGGATATTTTCTATCTGACATGGAGATAGTGAATTGTACCACAGAGGGAGATCTTCCATCCAATATGGTAACCATGAATTGTACACACAGAGGGAGGTTTTATCTCTGACATGGAAATAGTGAATTGTACCAAAGAGGGAGATCTCTATCCAACTTGGTAACCATGAATTGTACCACAGAGGGAGATCTGCTATGCAAGATGGAAACCATGAATTGTACCACAGAGGAAGATCTTCTATCCAACATGGAAACAATGAGTTGTATACACAGAGGGAGATCTTCTATCCAATCTGGATGTTCATTATGGAATAGCATACATTGTATCTAGAACTAGTTAAGGTTTTGTGGTGTTATTATTGTTGTTGTTTTAGAGGTGAGGTCTTGCTATGTTGCCCAGGCTGGTCTTGAACTCCTAGCCTCAAGTAATCCTCCTGTCTTTGCTTCCCAAAGTGTTGGGATTACACATGTGAGCTGCTCTTATTCTTTCTAAAGCTCTAGTTTGAGAACTAAAAATCACTTTCAAGGGTAGACTGAATTTTATGTTTTCTCTGAAAAATGAATTGGCACAAATTTCCAGTTAAATTTGTGCAATTTAAAAAAAAGTTAATTTTAAAGTGGTAATAATCATATACTAGGAATATAATCCCAAATTACATAACTGTTTCCTGAGCGTCTTCCCATGTTGACTGGGAAAATTTTGTAAAAGCATTCTAAACAGCAACAGATCCTCTTGTTAAGAAGGCTGCCAGTGCAAACACTCCTTATGAAGGACTCACATGCTCTGACTGTTCCATCACCTCCATAGCCAGGAGCCTTCTCTGGCTGCCACCGAACTAAGGAGGGGGCTCCGCCGCAGCCCAACCATTGGCATTGCTCATGGCTCTGTCTTAAAAATATTTATGAGCAAACATATCTACATATCGACGATGCTATCAATGGTACACATATCTCTCTAGCAGGACTTTGCCACCTGTCACGATGTGGTCACTGCTCTGAACATCTGGAACAGGCTTAGTTCTCTTTCTAGCAGACATGCAGTTTTGTTTTAAGAAATTGTTTGTACTTCGAAAGTCTATTTTCCAGGGATGGTTATGCTCAGCATTGGTCAGTAACTATGTTGATAAAAGCAAGCCCTTTACTTTTGTGTAATATTTTTGTCCAACCATATAAAAAGACACATCAGTTTGTGACATCCTAATTAGGAGCAAAAGCCATTTTTGTTTGCATTGTTCATCTCTGCTCCCATCTCACAGAGCTTTAGCAAAGCATCCTGGTTTCCTTGCTCCACCTTAGAGTGCTTTGTTAATAGTACCCATTTCAGTGGGTTAGGGTGTTTCCTTATTTTGCTTTCTGGAAGGTATCTGCTTTGACCTACATTAATCTCAGAGCTTGGAGGTAAAATCATTCTCTGTGTAGTCTTTGTGATTCGCTGGGATCCTCACTTCACAAAATGAGATCATGGAGAGGAGGGAACCCCCGGCAGGTGGCTTAGACTCTCTATGCATGCAACCCTGACAGAAACCCTTTTGTTAGCCACTCAGTAGACTCAACCGAACGTTTTCCAGACTGAGAAAACATTTGTGAGCAGACCTATCTACATATTGACAGCGCTGTCCTTTTCTTTCTGACTCTGACTCACGTGCAGAGCTCATGGGAGTAGTCTGGGTTACTTAAGGTTAACCTTTACATTCTCATAACCTCCCACGTACTTTTTCAGAATGCCACCCTGAGGAGTTTTGTTATTATTAAAAACTAGGGTCATTGTCTGACCAGTTGGAGAGCAAACAGATTGTCCCAGTTTTTCTGAAAAAAGGAAATGAGTCACTTTACATATGAATATCTCAACTACCAAAGTATTAAACAGCCCTTTGGTAATTGTTTTGCTTCTTAATTTTAAGATATGCAACCTCAGCCAAGTAGCACCAGCAAGAGCCGTCTGCTGCGCACCTCAGCTGTGCTTGGACCGCTTTGGCTATGAGGGAAGGTCTGGCTTTGATGGGGTGACCCTGCCCACCCATTAGACTCTGTGTGCAGCTGAGGGGTTGGGGTGGCCACAGGAGTCCTGCTGTCTTGCAGCACTCTGATGGCAATCAAGACCAAACTTCCTCAGTGATACTGGGAAGCTGTATTTTTTCTTTATCTCAGCCAATGGCGATTCCATGCTTTCCATTGCACAGCCCAAAAATCTTGAGGTTATCTTTGACTCCTTTCTTTCTGTCACATGCAATATCTGATCTATTCAGAAAATCCTATGGCCCCAATAATCTTCGGGATATATCTAGAGTCCTCTCATGTCTCACTACTTCCACGGCTACCTAGCCTGATCTGTTCCACCGACCACACGAGCCCGGCGTGCTCCTCTCAACCGGCCGACAGTTCTACCCTGCAGTCTGATCCCAGCAGTGGCAGCAGCGATCCACTCATGACATTAGTTGGATTTCACTCCTCAGCTCAGAGCTCGGCAGTGCTGCCTGTCTCTCTCAAAGGGAAGGCCAAAGTCTCTTTCAAGGGCCTACAAGGCCCTGCGTGGTGTAGCCCTGCCTCTCTGCACCACGTCCTGCAATTCTTCCCTGGGCTCACTGTGATGGCAGAGGGTTTCCATGCTCATCCTGGAACGCACCAAGCCCTCTGTCGTCTCAGGCCATCGCATAGGATCTTCCCTTTGCCTGGAACCGCCCCTTTGCGGGTATCACTGCCTCACTCCTTTCAATCTGTGCCCAAATGCTCCCCTTCTGCACGAGCTTAGCTGGCCTGGCCTGTGTAAACCTCAGCCTGTATCCCTGGCGCTCCTGGTCTCCCTTCTCCTGTTCTTTTATCCATAGCATGTATCATCTTCTAACACAGCAAGTGATCCTAAAATTTATGACATTATTGTTTATTATCTGGCCTTACTCTCAGTCTCTAGAACGTGAGTTCCACAAGGGCAGGGATCATTGTCATTTTTGTTCCCTGATGTCCTTGCCCATGTGTGTGATAAATATTTCCTGAATAAATAAACCACCACCATCACCAACGGTTGTTTTCTCGGTTCCCTTCAAACGGGCCATCTAGGATGCACATTCCTCCTAAGTAAAGTCTGTTTCTATGCAGTCTGCTGGCAGCTGAAACCTAGTGACTCTGGCTTTGCACTCCCATTTGTGGGAGATGATCCACAACACAGCCGGGGGTATGGCTGGCGCTGGGGAAATTCGTAATCCCACGCCACTTGGATACACAGACATGAGGGTCGGCAGGTGGCTCATTCAGCCCTTCCGTCCCTCAGCAAGCTCCCTCTGTTTCTGGGGCCTGGGTGCATATCAGGAGTCAAGGCCTTTGGAGCCATGACAAAATGAGTCTTTACAGTATTTTCACATTTTTGTGAGCACTTAAGATTCTTTCCTCCAAACAAATTTTGGAGGAGATCACACAGAGATCAGAGAGGGTGGTTTTTGTGTCGTAAGAATGAATGTATTTAACTACTGTTTATTGAGTATCCGCTGTGGTCCAGGCACAAGTAATGGAGATATGGTGGTAGAAGATAAAATCGCTAACCCATGGAATATAGTCTAGTGTGTTATTCAGAGTAAAGCAAGTAAATGAACTAACAAATAATAGCATTTCAGGAAAAAATAGAAAGATCCAGGTAGAAAGATACCAAGGGGGTATGGGCAACAGAAAGAAGCAGTGAAAATATCACAATTTTCTCATCAGTTTCAAAATAGTTAAGTATGGCTCATTGCTGACTTTAATATTTGTCCTGAAATGTCTAGTAAGCAGGTAGGGGTGTGTTTGTGCATGTGCATGTGTGTGTGTGTGTGTGTGTGTGTGTGTGTGTGTGTAAGCCCACGTTTGGAAGATAAGCATCTTGATTGTCACTCAAAGTATTTATGTCACAGGATAAGATCAATGGTCTCATTCTTAAAGATAACTGGGTCCTTTTCGCTACGTCATATTTCTTTCTCCAGATTAACAAAGTGCTACACATGTAGAAGATGATCACTTCAAATTTTTGAAAGAAGGAATAAGGGCAAGAACTCCTGAGTGAAGGTAGATAAAGTATAGTTTTGTAAAGTGGATAATACACTAAATGAATGTCTTTGATCATACTTCGTAGTTTTGATCAGGGTTCTGTAAAGGACCAGCAGAAAGTTTTTAGTAATTATGGGCCAACAGTTTCCACTGTAAATAGTCAGCTCTCCATTTTAGAGCAAAAGCAACCACAGAAATATGTATCCAAAAAAAATTGGAACCAGATAGTGGCTGCATTTAATATAACTTTCTTAATAAAACAGCCAGTAAGGAAGCAGTAGTTTGCTGACTATTCTAGAGTACTGTAGGGATTTAGGGTGACTAGAATGTGTCTAACGATATGAAATGGCATAAGCCATACCCTTAAAAAATCAGAGACTCTAAGGAACATGAAGGGGGGGCACCAGTGAGGTATTCTCATTAACAGAATGCACCTGAAAATGACCATGAAGGGCACGCTCTGCTCTGTCTGATTTCTAGTGGAGCTTTATGTTTGCTTTTATGTACACAATAAAGTTCAGAGAAAGTTGGGAAGATTAGAATAAAGAGCAACTAAATAATTACAGCTCTTAAAACAGGATTGCAAAAGATAAATTCATATGGTTTGCTTGGGTTGGCAAACTGCAGACAGCAGGCTCATCCAGGCCATAGCCTGTTTCTGCACAGGCCACGAACTCAGAATGGTCTTACAAGCTCAAAGGGCTGTAAATAGAAAAAGAAAGGCAAAGAGGAGGAGGAGGAAGAACAAGAACAGGAAGGAGGATACAGCAGAGACTTTGTGTTTTGTGTAAAGCCTAAACGATTCACTACTTGGCCTTAACAGAAAAAATTTGCTGACCCTGGTCTAGAGGGTGGAAAGACCGGGCTGACAGGAGAAATGTGGTCTGTGGAATACCAAGACTTGCTATGAAGTAAGCCACAAGGTTATCCCCAGGTGGAGGTGGGCTGGGGCAGCTCAGGCCTGAGTATGTATGCATATGACATGTAGTGCCTGCATGCCTGGTCCCCACGTGGTGGGCTCCATGAGGCCACACAGGGTGCCCTGCCCAAAGAGACAGTGCTTTCATTCCTACTTTTGGTGGGCAGACATCATATTTGTAATGGGAAATGGTGGCAGGACAAGGACCAGGTGATCCACTTGCCATCTCAGAAGAATTCCGTGAAGGCATCAGACCAGCTTAGCTTATTGATGAAGACAACTGGAAGAGAAAGATTTAATCATGACATAGGTAAATATGGAAGATTCAGGAACTCTTTTATCTTCTCTTTGCTTTTTCAAGAATAGAATGAGCTTTTACACCCTGACAGTGTACTGAGTCTGTGAGTGCAAAGTCCTCCCCAGAAAAATGTGATTTGCATTTATGCTTTCACCATTTGGTGAGAGCAGATTTCCCATCATCTGCCATTACAAACAGTTCTCCGCAGCTCATCACCAGGTCACAAACACATCCGCAAAGACTGTCTGAAAGTTTGTGCCATTTGCTAGTAGTATTAACTTTCCAGGGGTCCACACTGACACCCTCGCGAGGAAGAGGGCTTCACCTACTTCTGCCCCAGAGGTGAAACCCGCGCAGGAGAAACGAGGTCTGTTTGGGCATTTTTCTTGGAAATGTGTTTCTGATATCTGAAAACACAGCCAAATTGGTTCCAAGAATGTAAACGAATGTGCCTTATGTGCTATTATAGGTACATATATAAAACGGCAATATCAAATTCTGTTTTCAAAAGGTAATAACTTCAGTAGAAAAATCAGTTTGTCTCTCAAGCAATTCTATGAAAATAGTTGTAAATCTCAGTGGAACTGTTGGCTGCTTAAATAATTATTGTTTGCAGAGAAGAATTTCTGGCACACCTTTACAACCATTTAAGTACCAGCAGCATTAAATCTCAATTCCATATAAATTAAATGGTGGTTTACAGTATATTCTGGTTTTAAAATAAGGCAAATATAATGTTAACTGTCTTTAAAGTCAGAAAATGTGTATTTTATTTACATTACCCATATTTTCAAACACTGTGATAATTTCAGAATACACTCTGGAGAGGGAGGGCACCTGTGAAAAATCTTTGTCCTTTCCACTCAGTTTTACTGTCAACCTGGCTCTTAAAAAATAAAGTCTGTTAAAACAAAACAAAAATGCATCCATGTTTGTTGTAACCTTCTAGAGAATTCTATACATGATGAGACCGTTGTGGTCAAGAAATTCCTACAGTTTCTAAACGAGATATCAAATTTACTCTATTTTTTTTAAATCACCCTGGAATTGTTGAGTTACAGAATTAGTTTCCCCTCTGGAATATTAAGAGAATTGATTTTAGTGGACATCCCATATTTATCGATCATTTGTGGCACTGCAGTGGCTGGGCAGCAGGAGGAACATGGGAGTCCACGGCCCTGCACTCGGGGCCTCAGCAAGAAAAGAGTCAGAGGCCATCAAGTGTCACTGGCTCAGAGAACCCATGAGGGGCTCTGGGATGCAGAATAGGAGTTGGCGGCTGAGCTAGGCCTGCAGGATGGGGTGAGCTTGATGCAGGGGCATTGGGGAAAGCCTGGCCTGGGGTGCTCCCGGGGTCCGGACTCACCACTCCCCAGCCTCCAGTGGACTCTGCTGCACAAAGCACCAGGCTGCCTTTTTTCCTTCTTTTATTTTCTCTTTTGACCACTTTAGAGAGCTAGATAGTACACTCATCTGCCCTTGTAGAGGCCAACGTCTTTTCCCTAAATTTGTCCTGTTTCTGACTTAGAAGTAAGGAATCCATTGGGGCACCCCTGAGGAGCGGGCATTTGCAGGGTGCCTGGAGTGCACAATTTCCCCACCATTCTCTCTGCCTGGGTCTTTCCCCTGCAAGGTCCCAACCCTGTCCAACTTGGGTCCCATATCTGCTGGAGGATGGAGGTGATGTGCGCCTTCTAGTTGGGATTGAGTCCTAATTGCTCTAAGTCAGCTGTGGCCACGCTGTTGAGGCAGTGAGTCCAGTGTGGGCCTGTGGCTCGGCCCTGGCCTCGGAGCAGATGAGATGTCTGCTGGGGGCACCTGGGGAAGGGTTTTCTTTAAAATGCAAAGAGGTTCAGGAGCAGCGAACCTCCCTCTTGCTCCTCGGGTCTGCATGTGGGCGGGAGTGAGTGTGGAGCTGGCAGTGCCTGCTCCCTGTTGCCACTGTGGAAGGAAATCCAAAGGAATTTCAGAAAAGCTGACCTGGGGCTCTGACATTTTTTAGCTTCTGAGATAACCAATCCTGGAACTACTCAATCCCAACAGGTCTTACAAGAAACATGGAATTCCAGCAATTTAAACCACTTTTTATTGGGTATTCTGCTGACTCCAACTCAGAAAACCCCACCAGCACAGGGCCTGGGCAAGGGAGAGCATGCTCCATATGGTGGAAAGGGGGTGACCAGAGGGCATGGTGTTTCATTTGCTCTAAAGACAATAAGGGGTCCCTTATCCCACAGAGCAAGTGTGACCACCACATAAAAGAGAGAATTGTTAGTCATTGCTGAAGACCAAAAGGAATCCATTTTTTGCTTTGTTTTCTTTATTTCTATTTACAGTCTTTTGACTGGACCATGCAGCAGCACAATCAATCAATAGACGAAGTATGTGAAAGTTTAGCATGCATGTGGAGCTGGCTCCGCATTGGAGAAGACGGCAGCAGGGATCAGCGGAGCTGTTCTCTTTGCGCTTCTGTGGTTAGGTCTGGTGCTAGTGTTGTCCCGTAAAGCGCAGCCGCAGTAAGGGCTGACCTTCAGTTCTGGTCCCTGATCTGGGTTCTTACTGATCCAGTAATAGCCGAGAAGAGCGTGTGGAATCAAACTTGGAATTAGGTCATGAAGTTTCATGATGCTGACAGGCATTTTACCTTTTGGTACTGTCAGGTTTCGCTGAAACATGTTTGGATCAACAGATTGCAAATTAGGAACTGGCAGCCGTTCTGACAATCGCTGACAACGTTTTTAAAGAATATTGAAAATGGAATCATTAAACACTCTGAAATTAATGTTCCCATAGCAATGTTAATGCGGCCACCTTGTGCCAGTGCAATTACTCATTGATTGCTATTGTTTACATCTAAATTTAAAGTGCATATCTAGACCTAATGACATGGTTGCAGTTAGTATTTTGAGGAATACCTCCATATCAAAGTTTCTTTTCCTGGTGGATTCATAACACTTTAGACTCAGACTTTGGTTGTTTGAGAAGCATAACCAAAAATAAGAAGTAAAAGCACTAATAATCAAAATGTCAAAGTTGATCCCATGTTCAAACCCCGTAGTTGAAGAATCCTGAGTGATGTGTCAGAAAAAGCAGGGAATTAGAAAAGCCTTAAGGTGTGCACATACGTGGCCATGATTTTGTAGCAATTCTCTTGGCTCTTTGGAAAGCAAAAGCAGAGGACCCCAGATCAAGGTCAAATGACAGAGCCTTGTGTGGTTCTGATTTTGTGTTCAATGTCTAGGGGTGCTCACTGGCTCTACTGGGTCTTTGCTGGCTCTTCTGGTCACTAGAAACAGACAGCATGGAAGGCAGTGATGCAGAGACCCAGCTCCGCTCCTGGCTGGGGAGGAGCCTACACCCTTCCCCTGACCTGCTGCGTTACTGCCTCTCTGGTGTAGAGAGACTATGGGCTGCATTGTGGCAGGTGACAGCAGGTGCAACAGCCTCCCCCTCCACACACTGTGTAGCCCTCCGTGATCTGTAACGGTTCATTATATCATTCGTGTGAACTATGTGGTCTGTATCAGGTTTTAAGATTTTATTTTATTTTTTGGTCTTATGTTCAAATCACTTCTGTTCAGTTTTTAAAAAATCATTACAATTTGAGGAAAGGGACTCTGTCACCTTGTCCCCCAGCACCAGCCTTGAACTTGTCCAATCTGATATTTGGACAGGGCCAGTGAGCCACGTTATCACACTTCTGGTTGTACACAAGCAGTTGGGTGACACATTTTCCATTCATAAAAGAAAATTGGTTTGGATACACTCTAATTGCACATTTGCAAGTTAGAGCTCCATGCATGCTATTTGTTGAAAGCCCCCTTTGGGTTAATTACAAAGTGCCTAAATGCTATTTGATGATTTTGGAAGCAAAATATGCGTGGGACAGTGTTTCTGTGCCTTGAAACCCACTGAGTAGTATCCCACCTTGTACATTTCACTTTTGCTATAGAAACATCCTGTACCATACCTGTCACTCAAACAGACCAGTTGTGAGAGGAATTGGGAGAGAATATGGGGCCGGAATCCCCTTTCCAATGTTAAGTTTCTGATCTTAAATGTACTTTAATACACCCCACACTTCTGTCACTATCTCTTCCACATATCATGTGTGACATCTTCATTTATGAGATGGCAAAGTGACTGGAACATTGACAGAAGGAAACTGAAATGGGCGAATCTTCCTGCATTTTAGCAATCACTCGGTTTTGGAAAGGAAGACTGCCCCAGGATGGTTCACAAATCTCATCCACTCTTGCCAGAGTGACCCATTCTGAGTTGGTGACAACATCCCTGGACACTTCCGTTGGTCCCTCCCCTTCACAGCTTTGTACAGCTGCGGCATGCCCCCCCAAGTGGTTGTGCCTTTGTTTTGGTGTCTGTTCTGCAGCTAGGAAAACTCTCCAAGGGATAATGTGAGGAGCAACTTGGCTGGTATCCATAAACCTTGTGAAGATGAACGATGTCATCACAGGCGAGCCCCTGAATTATGTTTATGAAATGTGCTCACAACACCCAATGAACTACACTTTGGTACATTAACCCTATACGTCTTGGATGGTGACTTTAAGATGTGGGTGTACCCAGGGGGAAATGTCTGCGTGTCTTCTAAGTTAGTTTAGCTCATTGGTGACATCATAAGATCACCATCACCTAGGCAATGGAGCGTGTTGCTATGGGAACAGCAAAGCTGTATGATAACACAGCTTCAAAATGTTGACAGTTGGAAATGCTCCCTTTTTTCTGTACTGCAAGCCAAAGGAGATGTATATGTAGGGGGTGGGTGTTTTGATTAAAATATTAGTATTTAAAGTTTGTTAATATAAACTGTTTGGAGACGAATGATTTGTGACACTTAAGATATTTAGAATACGGAAATTTTTGGAAAAACATGACCCTTTAGCTGCTTTAAAGAAACCTTTATGTCCTGGAACTTGTGCAGGCCTCATGAAGTCAGAGTTGTCATGAGAAAGATACAAAATCTCTTTGCAAAACTGCAGGAAGCATAGATATGCTGGATGGCAGGGCTCCCACCTGTGTGACCTTGACTTCAAGGCACCGATGACTGGTTTATGCACGTCCTTGCTGTGGTTCTTTTGGCCGTCACCGCCCGTCTCCTGGTTTCACTCCACAGGTTACTGAATCATGAGAGTCTCCCTTCAGGAAACTGTGACCCAAGCCACACGCCGTGTCCTCCCATGTGTGTTTGTGTGTTCATACATGCATAGATGTGTGTGTGTGAAGTCAGGTTCGTATACGCCAGTCCTGCATACTTGGATTTAAGTAACCTTGGACTGAATATATTTTAAAAAAAATAACACTACAACATGAAGACAGTATGAAATTTAAATATAGTGTAATAACTATTTATATAGCATTTACATTGTGTTAGGTATTACAACTAATCTAGAGATGATTCAAAGTACACAGGAGGATGTGTGTAGGCTATATGCAAACCCTATGCCATTTTATAGCAGGGACTTGAACAACTGAGGATTTTGGTATCTGTAGGAGGTCCTGGAACTCCCTCAAATACTGAGGGATGAGTGTGTGTGTGTGTGTTTGTGTGTATACAAGTTGAGTGTCTCTTATTCAACATGCCTGGGACCAGAAATGTCTAGGATTTCAGATTTTTTTCAGATCTTAGAATATTTGCATATATATAATGAGATGTCTTGAGGTTGGGATCCAAGTCTGAACATGACATTTACTTACCTTTCATATATATTCCATGTACATACCTCAAGGTGGTTTTCTGTAATATTTTAGATAATCTTGCACACCCATCACTTGAGGTCAGGTGTGGAATTCTCTACTTGCAGCGTTGTAACAGTGCTCAAAATCTTTCCAATTTTAGAACATTTGGGACTTTCAAATTAGAGATGTTCAACCTGTACATATACATGGACATATTTACACAGGTGATTCTTGTTATTCGAGGTAGTTGTTTTGTAAAGTTGCCACGTACACTGAATTAGGCAATACTAAACAGTTGCTTGTACTGGATGTACAGGGTTAGCTTCCTGTGACCCTCTGCTGACATTTTTATCCACTGAGTAATATATAGCCTTGTTTTTTGTGTATTTCGATTTAAAGGCATCTTATTTAATTTGTCCTGTTGGTTCACTCACATCAAACTCACCACCAAAAGCCCCAACGCTCAAGCTTGAACACAGTTCCTTCAACACCTGCTTTCTCCATAAGGCACATCACAGCAGTCTCATGATTTGTGACACCTGACAGCACTTCAGTGCCATGCTTGGGGCCACTGCAGGTAGAAAAATCAACCATGAAAGCCACAAAAATGCACAAACAGTAGCGCTGTGCAGACTGCAGAAAGGACAAATTTACAGGACGGGCTGAAACAAGAATGTGGTGTGTTGCCTTGTCCACTGTCAGCTGGAAACACTCCCATCGAGACTTAGACTCTTTCCCTCCCTGCACACGCTCAGAAACAAGCACAACACTCCGAGTGTTAACATGGGAGTCACCGATACGTTTCGTGAGTAGATGCCTTCACAAACGTGAACCATAATTAGTGAGGTCAACTGAATGCCTGCGTGTGTATATATGTGGGTGTGTGCATGCGTGTATGTGCGTGTGTGTAGACAGATGATAGATGGATAGATGATAGAGAGATGATATAGACAGATGATAGACTATATGATAGAAAGATGATAGATGATTGATAGATGATAAATAGATGATGGATAATAGATAGATGAATAGACAGATACAGATGGAAAGATACATATATATATATATATATGCACTTCCCTCTCTATGTTATTCATGTCCACCTGGTAATGAATGGAAGGTGAAGGGCAGTTGTCTCCCAGAGGAAAACACACACTTCCTGGCCCTGAAAAGCTTCCTCCCTACAGTACCCTGGAAATGCGCCCTCTCCAGGGCCTTTTGGGCATTGGCTCTGTGCTCCTCTGGTGTGTGTCTGCAGGTGCTTCAGTCCCTCTTGGGGGTAGGCCTGGAAGGCAAGCCAAGGGTCTTGGACACAGAGACGCCTGGGGTCAGCTCTTGGAAACTGGTGGGCCATCCATATCCACGGAATGACTGAAATGCAGAAATGCTGATGTCAGGGAATGGAGGTGGGGCAAGGCCTCGTGTTGAAGGATGTGCTGCCCTTTTCGGTGGCTTATCCTTCTCTGTTTTAGTGGCTGCCCTAGCTACAGTGTGGATGGGAGTGAACTGGATTAGCAGTGAGGAGTGGCCCTTCAAGAATTGCCTGTATGACCAGATGAAAGTTGGCTTTCAAGTTCCTCATCACTAGAACAAAATAGTTACATAATTTGTTTGGGGGAGTTCTGTGGCTCCGACGTTCTTTATTTAAAATTTGGTTTTTAATTTTGCAATTTTGAGAAACTTCTTTGGAGTTTTGTAACAACGTCTTTGCGCGCCATTTTAGGAATGTAGCCCTTTGTGTAAATACTCACAGAACAAGGCAGTATATAGTTTCTAATGTTCTCCACTACTAGTATTAATAAAAAGCATTATTTTGGAGAAGTGTTTGTTGATTACTCATGTTGATGTTTTGGATTTTTTTAAGTCATGATCATTGTTAAGTTGTATTATTAGGTTGGTGCAAAAGTAATGGCAAAAACCACAATTACTTTTGCACCAAACTAAACATAGCACTGTGATTCTTAGAAATTTTTTCTCAGCATCAGGATTAGTTAAGCTGTTTTTTGTATTGTATTGTTTTTTGTACCTGTGAAGTATGGATTGTTAGCTGCCACTTGGGAGCATGGGCTGTGTGCTGGGCACTCTATTAAATACTCACTATGCCAGTCCCAGTGCTTACCATCCCATTCCCATTGTACCTCTGACGGTGCATATCAGGATGTCCGCTGTTCAGATGCTGAAACCATGACTCAGAATAGCTAGGATAGCTGCGATGAAGCTGAGCCGCAATTCAAACCCAGGTGGGCTTGATTCCAAAGTCAACGTTCTTTCTCATTGGCTTTGCAAAGTACAACACTCTAAATACACATCAGATTTTATTCACACACTTTGGAAATTTTGTTTGCATTTTTAACTCCAGTTTAGTTATAGGATTTTATAGCATATTGAGGGTGGCGTGGAAATGGAGAAATTGAGGAAATAAATTCATTTTACTAGGAGCTAAAGCTGTACCCCCTTTGTAGAACTAAATTAGGCTTTTAAAAAAATCTTGCTTTTAACACCCCCAAGATGTTATTAAAAGCAACTTTCAAATATAGTTTTTATCCTGGCAGTATTGTTTTTAAACTGGCACGGCACTATATATATGAGTTGCCTTGTGAATTTTCCAAACAGAAAGCACTGTACCTAGCAGATTTGTCAGCAATTTATTTAGATGCAGTTTGACTATCTGATGAGCCATCACAACATTCCCATCTGTTCGTCAGGGAGGGAGGTGGAATGTAAACAGACCCAGTCACTGTTTTCTGACTGCCTGAGTTTTCCGGCCATCTTGTCTACTTTGTCACCAGCATCTTATTAAATCACTAAAGCCTCAGCGCTCTCTTGAGTCCTGCTTACCACTGGCGGGCCCCATCTCTATGTCTCCACACCCAGATATGATTGCTCCATGTCATCACATTGCATCATTCATGCCACATGTCTATTGAGCATCTAATTTATGCCAGGCACTAATCTAGGCATTGGGGATACAACAAAGAACAAATTAGAAAGTCCCTGAGCCTTGCATTCTAGATGAGAAAAGAGAAAATAAACAAGCTGCATCTGTTTTAAAAAATATATTGAGTGATGGCAGCAAGTGTTTGATGTGGGAACAAGCCTTACAGATACTTAGGGAGAGGGCACTGAGGGAAGGAAGGAAGGAAGGAAGGAAGGAAGGAAGGAGGGAAGGAGGGAGGGAAGGAAGGAGGGAAGGAGGGAGGGAGGAAGGAAGGAAGGGCAAAGGAGCCTTTTGGAGAAGTTTGGGTTTGGTGGGACCCCAGAGAGTTGGGGGTGGTAAGAGAAAAGCGAGTGAGGGGAGATTTGTCAAGATGAGCTTGGGAGACGAACACGCACAGGCCACGAAGGCTGTCTAACGCATTTGGCTCTGAGCTCAGCGAGAAGCCAGACGAGGCACTGTCTCCACCCGTGGGAAACCTTTGTGCAATGCCAGAGGAGCAGGTGAGAAGCTGCCTGGCTGGCCCGGCACCACCTGGGGAGGAACAACTGCTTTCTGATGCTTCCACTTGGAAGCCACGGGGCGGCCAGTTACATCCCTCAAAACCTGCTGTAAGTGTCTTGTTAATGCCACTCCCAGCCACCTCTGTGACATATCAGGTCATTGCTCCAATTATTATCCTGCAGCCCTATAATATACATAAAACCTGGAAGCCATTTTCTATAGTACCTCCTGTTTACGGCGTCCAAGTCCAACGGACAGCAACTAACAAGGCGAGCACTATACAAATGTGCTGCCACTTGATAGAATTTCTTATCTAAGTGGCTCCCGTTGCCAGCACCCGAAACCGCAAGGTGGCTTCGCAGCCTGTCTGCTTCCCTGCTCTCGGGGCCCTGGGAGCGTGTACAGCCAGGCTCTTCCACACCCGCGTCCCAGGTCCTTTTCCCTGGACGGACGTGGCGCCTTCAATTCCTCTAAAACTGGATTAAACCAACTTTGACTTTTGTGTTCCATTTGTTTCCACATTTCCACGAATTATCAAGACACAGCTTTCTACAGAGAAGTGACTTTTTCCAGACCTTCATTGCCATTTTGGACACAGGAGCCCAAACCCAAACTGTGGATCCACCCGCAATGCAGACAACTGCTTTCTAAGGAAAAGCCGCGTTTCCAGCAGGCGGCGGCCCCCTTCTGTGGCGTCCCTAAGTCGCAGGCTGCGGCGGACAGCGCGGGGTGGGTGCAGGACGGCGGCGGGTGAGAAGTCAGGACATCCACCACAGAGCACTTTCTGGTCTCAGCTGCTCCAGGCGCCATGGAAAACACCCCGAGGACGGACGACTCAGCGCGGACGCCTCCCGTTCAGGAACTGGGGCGCCGGAGTCTCCACGTTCCGGGAGGAGGTCTGTCTCGGCAGGCTGCCTTCCCTCTGCAGAAGCGGCGTCTGAGGTGCCCCCCGCCTCTGGCGACAGGACACGGACTGGGAGGGGCACCTCCGGCTTTCACTAGCCGTGCTGGGGTGTCACTGCACGCGCCTGTGCGTTCGAGGCTCCCGGCCCCGTGCTGGGTTGAATGTGGGTTCTCTTTGGTGAGCTCTGCTGCTGTGAATGGAACCCACATTAAGAATGAGCAACTCCCAAGCAAAATCGAGGCCTCTGCGATTCCTTACAACCCCTCTCTCTTTTCTCCATGTTTCTGCAACCCAACGGTAGGCCAGGACATTTGAGGCTGCCATTGTGGGTGCTGTTTATGGACTGCCTCCTTTACGGGGCGCTTTCTTCCGTCCTTCCCGGATGTGAGGCGTCCTGCAGAGCAGCCTCCCCGGCCCTCCCGGATGTGTGGCGCCCTGCACGGCGGCCTCCCCGCCCCTCCCGGATGTGAGGCATCCTGCAGAGCAGCCTCCCTCGCCCTCCCGGATGTGAGGCGCCTTGACGGCGGCCTCCCCGGCCTTCCCGGATGTGAGGCGCCCTGAACTGCGGCCTCCCCGGCCCTCCCGGATGTGTGGCGCCCTGCACGGCGGCCTCCCCGGCCCTCCCGGATGTGTGGCGCCCTGCACGACGGCCTCCCCGGCCCTCCCGGATGTGTGGCGCCCTGCACGACGGCCTCCCTGGCCCTCTGCGCACAGGAACAGAGCCCCACTGCTCCCTGTGGCCTCATTTCCATCCCCTCTGCTTCCTCCAAATAAGTTCTGTGAAGGCTATTATGGGGCTTCACAACTTAAGCTTACTTTTCAAAGTGTTCTTGCTCCTCCTCTCCCAAGCATTTGCTGAAATAAGAGGTTCCTCTGGGTGTTCGGAAACATATTCCTCAGTTTCAGGCGTGACGCCGGCACGACACCTGTGGAAAGTCCACCCTCTGCTCTGGGTTTCCAGTGTGGTCCTAAGGCTTGAGGTGTAGTTTTGTGTCAGTCCCTTTGTTGGTTTAAGTAGCGGTGACTGAAGCCTGGTCTCTCTACAGAGCTGACTACCGTTTTCTCTCTGCCTCTGAACAGACTATTTTGCAGAGCCAGAGGTGCCCAGGCATGGCCTCAGGCCTCATCCCTGCTGCTCAGGACGCAGCCTCAGCCCCCGGCCCATGCTGCTCTGGGCGGTTCCACGCTCCTTTCTGCACCTCTGCAGGGAGGCCCATCGCTGGTCTGAGGCATCCGCCCTTGCTGCGGGCTGCTTTGTTCCTCCTACTTGCTGGATCCCAGGAGCCGCGGCGGCACTGAGGTCTGGGCAGCACAGGGACTCAGCTCCCTCCGTGCCTCTTAGAGCTCCTGATCCTAAGGAAAAGGATCTGACCTTTATGCAGCTAAGTGTTCTCTTTCCTAGGCACCTCTCCTATCCCAGGCTTTCTCTGTTCTGCGGGTTCCTTTTCCTCCCCATGTGTGCATTTTCTGGCATCTGTCGGAGGACCCCTTCCCAGATGTTCTCTCCACCTCACCTTCCCGCTCTTTCCATTCTTTCACTTTGCTTTGTCCTGATCTGACTTTCTGAAGCCATTAGTTATCATTTCATTATAAAAAATCCAGCTTGGGACCCACCAAGTTAATTTCATGGCTATTGGTTTGAGATCTAGAGTTTGAAAAACATTGTTCTACATGACCTTGAAGGCCAAGAGCATAACCACTGTCATTCAAGTGGCTCCGGCACCATGGGTCCTAGGACAGGTCCCTACAGAAGGCGAGTGGTAGAGAAGGGAGAAGGGATCTCAGGGTGTGAGTTCACAGAAGGCTGGGAAGAGTGTGAAATGGTTTTATGCTGGCAAAGTCTAACGGGCAGATTCCTCCTTTCCACTGTGCCCTTGGGGCAGTACTGGCCAAAGTACTTTATGACAAAAAAATTGTCTTACATGACTTTAAGCTCCTCTGCAAGAGTTCAGTGTTCCAAGATGACTGTCTTTGCCACCAGTCTCATGTGGGGAATGAAGGAAGGAAGGAGGGAAGGAGAGAAAGAAGGAGGGAGGGAGGGAGGGAGGAGGGAGGAAGGGAGAGAGAAAAGAGGGAAGGAGGGAAGAAGGGAAAGAAGGAGGGAGGAAGGAAGGAGGCAAGGAGGAAAGGATCTTCCATTGATTTTTTTAAGGGAGGGAAGGAGGGAGAGAAAGGAGGAGGAAAGAAAGATGAAGGAAGGCAGGGAGGGAGGGAAGGGAAAAAGGAAGGTAAAAAGGAATAAAGGAGAAAAATTGTTTTATAAAATAACACATCTTTTCTGAATTACAAGTACCTATACTATTACTTTCATTACTAGATCTGTGTCTAGTACTAGGTAAGGTTATTACCGGTCTGTTTTGAAAACCCCGACATTCGGAAAACTCCATGTGCTGTCATTGGTTACATGCAGTCTTTCCAGCTCCAGGCCAAAAACTGTTCATATTTGGATTTTATGAACCATTTAGCACTCACAAGTGTTTAGTAGTCACTCCCACTCTTTGAGGCTTTTTTTTTTCAATTGATAAAGTATCATATGCTTACTGCAGAAAATTAGAGAAAAAGAAAATAATTTTTTAAATTACCATGTAATTGACTATTTAAAGTATATAAACATATGTATTTTTAATCTTTAAATGCATATATGTATATACATATGTGTTTTAGACTCTTTACAAATATAACTGTGTTATCAATTAACAAAAAGTGCTTGTTAGTGAAATTAATATTGACAATTCTTAATGATTATTAAATAATATATGCAAAAGACTAAGATTTTTAAGGGTTGACTTGTTTTTAATTTCATGTATATAAACTTAGGCTAGGAATAACAATTTAATCATATCTGCTAATTCAAGCACCCTCTGCATAGACTTTGTAGACATAAGTATAAAAAATTTTTATTTATGATATAAAAATTTATCTCTTCAACATTTGAAGTAAATTTCCTGAATTGGTTGAAATCAGTAAGGTTTTGGTATGAAAATATCATTACTTTTGTAAAATTGAAGAAATCACTTTATGTGGTTGAATGGCTTTGGGTCTGCCTAACAATTCTTCACAAACATCTGCATCTACGGTCATCTGGACACTGGGAAGTGGCATGATGTCTCCTTGTATGCGGTAAGGAACATATTCTATTACACAAAAGCACATAGTGACTAAATCATGACAGACATGAAATATCTAAAAATGGTAAAAGAACTTAGGCAAATATGACACAAGAGCTAAAATAACAAAGAAAACTCAAATCCATTAATTAGTAGGCAAATTACTTTTGGTAGACATGATTCAGTAAAAGTCTTTGAATGTAACCAATTTTCTGCTGCTGTAAAAGAGGAGAGTTGAACATGACTCATACTGGGTTTGAATCTTTCTGGGTAAGATTCCATGGTTATGCACAAATGTAGTAAAAAGTAAAAACAAAACAGTAAGTGACATTGATGGAAATTGAGACATTCTAACTTGGAGAAATGAAAAATATAAAAGGAATATTTCTTTTCTTATGTTTACATTTGTTTGTTTAACAATCTAAAGCATAGGAGATCCTTGCCCTCCAAAGAAACCTGGTGCCTAGGAAAGTCTCCTTAGAAAGATTTGACCCAAATTAGGAGAAAAATTGCATCATTAAGAGAGAAAAAATATTGAGCAAGACTTTATTTTGAAAAATTAAAGTTAGTGATTATAGTCTAAGAAATTAGGTATTACTTTCATGTATGAGTTGATCTTAAGTTTCTTTTTACTCTTGGCTAATGACCTCTCTTCATTGTTTATTGCAAAAATAGGATCAACCATAGAGCCTTCCTTGTCTCTTTCCCAGCGAAGGCCCATCAAGACCCTGGAGGTCTCCGCATCTCCCTTCCCGAACGGCAGAGGCAGTGGCAGTGGCCTCGTCCCAACTCAGGCCAGCCCCTCCCTCGGTGCTTCAGACTGTATCCCCTCTCTTTTCTCAAAGAGCTTTGTCTTCACATTACCTTCCCCTTTCCTATACCACCAGTTATTCCCTTTAAAAGTTCTCTCCTGTCTTTCTTCTTTGGTATAACCACGCTCCCACATCCTGTAATTCTCTCCAGTTGCTGCCCTACTTCTCTGCTTGCCTTGAAGCCAGTGTTTCCATCTCCACTTCCTCAGCAGAGATTCTCTCCTTGGCCCATTGCAACCAGGCTTCCATCTCTCCACTCCAATGAAACCATCCTTGTTATGGTCCCCAGTGGCCTCCGCCTTGCTGAACCCAGGGACCATTTCTCTGCCCTCTCCTTGATGCCCTCTTTTTTTTGCACAGGTGACTGCTTGCGCCCTAAAGCACCCTCTTCCCTTGGCTCCTGGGACTTCTCATCCTCCTCTTTCCTCCTGGCTGTTCTCCATCTTCTCTGTTGCTAAATGTTGGAGTACTCAGCCTTTGTTTGTATCTATACTTTCTCCCCAGGTGATCTCATCCAAAGTAATGACTTTAATCGCCATCTTTATGAAAACGTTTCCCAAATGTTATCTCCACCTTTTATCCTTCCAACTTCCAACGAGTAGCAGTCTATTATACCTCAGTTTCCTGGGCCTGTGCACGTGGATGTCTTATTGAAACCTCCAACTAAACGTGTCCAAAGGAGAAGTCTTATTTGCCTTCCTCCAATTGTCTCTTCTGTCTCCCAGTCTCAATATGT